TGTTTACAAGGCTGACATGTGGATGCCATTTAGGGCTGGGGTGGGGGAGAGCGGGGTAGGGCAGGGCAGCCTGGGGGCCCTCTAGGGATGGGAGTGGGATGGTCCGGGGGCCCTGCTGGGCTAGGGGATGGGAACAGGGCACACGGTACATTAAGGACCCCCCACTCCAGGTGCTCATGGGCCCTGTGACAGCAGGAGGTGGGATGTTCAGTGCTAGTGAGCACACCCTGGTGCTGTGAGGAGAGGCCCAGGGCATGCTGGCCCCCCAGTGTGACCCCTCCCTCCTTGGCCTGTTCCCCCTGCAGTCCTGGGGCCGTAGGAGATGGCGCGCTCCCTCTACCGCCTTCTGCTGGTCCCCACCTGCCTGCTGCTGAAGCTCTCCAAGCTCCTATACTGGCTGGCCGAGCATAGTGCCTCCTACCTGCTGGGGGCTGCCTACTGCCTGTGGGTGCCGTGGCTGGTGCTGACCCAGGGGCCGTGTCGGGCCTTCCGCTGGAGGGTGCGAGAGATGCCACCACCGTGCCTTACCGATGCCTCCTATGGGGAGCACCGCTACCTGCAGCTTAAGGTTGTGTGGGGGGAGGGGGATGGGGGGGGACAGTGGGGCTGGGTCAATCCCTGAACAGATCCTCCTGCAGAGTCCAGGCTGCAGCTCTTACCCCTGTGATGGTTCTTGGGATGCCCAGGAATGAGTCCCCTTGGAACCCCCGGCCTCCAGCCAGAGGAAGTCTTTGTGCTTAAGTGGGTGTCAGCTCCCTGCCACCTCCAGTCGGTTAGCCCCCAGACAGCCCTTCCTTTGCCTTGCAGGTTAACAATAGGTGCACCGCAGTCCCGGAGCCCCTGTGAAGCATTCCCCTGTAGGGCCTAGCCCCTGTCCACTGAACACGGAGACTTGGCAGGTCAGCTGTCCAAGGGACAGCGCACACCAGCTGGGATGGTTCAGCATCCTGTCTAACACCACAGGGCTGAGTTCCAGGTCGGGTGAGAACAGGCGTACAGGTCGTATCAAAGAGCGAGAGCTAAGAGCTAGCGAGCGAGGATGATGGAAATGGGAAGGTGACACAAGACAAAAGCGTAACACGATGCTTAGAGACTAACTTCACTCATTTAACCATGTGTTCAATGCATATACACAACTCCTTCAATATCAGCCATACCCCCCACCTGCAATGATTCTGAGGAGCGGGATGACATCGCCTTCCATTGGAAACCTCCCATGATGTCATTGCTGGGTAAACGCCATTAAGTGGTGTGCTCGGTGTAGTGAGTTTGTCAGGCTGTTGGAACTGTCAACCCTTTGCCTGCTGGTACCAGTGGGGCTCTGCCAGCCTCCTGCCCAGCTGTCCCCCATGGTTCTTGCTGACGTGGGGCTGTGGCACAGGGGAAGCTGGGGCAGGTGCTGCAGACAAGGCCAGTGTCTGGGATGAGACAAACGAGGGCAGAGGTTGGCAAACTACAGCCCGTGGGCCACATCCGGCCCACGGGACAATCTTGCCCGGCCCCTGAGCTCCTGGCCGGGGAGGCTAGCCACCGGCCCCTCCCCCACTGTTCCCCCTGCCCCCCAGCCTCCGCTCACTGCGCCGCTGGCGCAATGCTCTGGGCGGCAGCGCAGCTGCAGAGCCGTGGCCTGACCTGGTGCTCTGTGCTGCGCGGTGGCGTGGCTGGCTCCAGCC